CGGAGACAACCGGCTCACCTACACACACCCGGCACCCCTCTCCACACCGCCGCCCTCCTTGTCGGAGGCGGGGCGCGCGAGGCCTGGTAGAACCGAAGAGAAACCCAGTGTAGCAGGCCGGGGCGCACCCCGAGGACCCGGCATTGACAACGGCCGCACGCAAATAAGGGCTCTGGCCACGCGCGTCGTGATTCGGCGTTCGGGCCGGGGCCGAGAGGAAGGAGCCGGGCTTATGTAAATGAGCGGATTGTGTGCGCGCGCTCCTATTGGCCAGAGCGCGAGGGCCCGTGTGAGCCAATGAACGCGTCGGGCGGGCAATCGGGGCTGTGTCTATAAAAGGAAGAGGCGGCGGCGCCGGCGCGCAGTTTCCCGTTTGCGCGAGCGTCTGAGTTTGCGTTTTTCGTCATGTCTGGCCGTGGTAAGCAAGGAGGCAAGGCCCGCGCCAAAGCCAAGTCGCGGTCGTCCCGCGCCGGCCTGCAGTTCCCGGTGGGGCGTGTGCACCGGCTGCTGCGCAAGGGTAACTACGCGGAGCGCGTGGGCGCGGGCGCGCCCGTGTACATGGCGGCCGTGCTGGAGTACCTGACGGCTGAGATCCTGGAGCTGGCGGGCAACGCGGCCCGCGACAACAAGAAGACGCGCATCATCCCGCGCCACCTGCAGCTCGCCATCCGCAACGACGAGGAGCTCAACAAGCTGCTGGGCAAAGTGACGATCGCACAGGGCGGCGTCCTGCCCAACATCCAGGCCGTGCTGCTGCCCAAGAAGACCGAGAGCCACCATAAGGCGAAGGGCAAGTGAGGCCGCTGCCCGCACCGTGGCGGCTCGCGTCCCGGGACGCCCGCGAACTCAAAGGCTCTTTTCAGAGCCACCCACTCCTTCAGATTAAAGAGTTGTGTCACGGTAGCCGGTGTCGTGGCCTTTGGCGGCCCGTTCCCAAGGTGTGGGGTGTCCCGTGGGTCGCTCGCCTTATGCGTCCCCAGCGTCCTTCCCAGTCAGTATCCGAGGTCCCCCAGGTGGTCGTCTGTGCGCTCGCTCTTCGCCCTCCTGGCCCCGGGCGGACCCCACACTCTCGTAAGCACTTTATGCCGTATGTCAGCCCTACACACCCACCCTGCAAAACTCTTGTCCCGCGCGCTGCTTCCCGCCCTTGTCTCCTGAGAGCTTCCTGTCCCTCCCAGGTCTTGGGACTCCACCCCGACGTCGAGCCCAGGGCAGACGCAAAGCACAACTAGCTAGCCCCACTGTCTCCAGATCCCCGGCAAAGTCTAGAATAGGACGCGTCTCGGGACGACGGGGCGCGGCCAGCTCTCGGGATCGCGAGGGGGCGATCATTGGGCGACACTGAAATTAGCTCTGTCTGTGACTTTGGACAGCGGGCGGGTGAGCACGCGCGCCTCTCTGGAAGAGACGATCAGAGTTGGGACCTGGAGCTACTCGAGGTGTCCCTATTTCCCCTGCGGTGAGCGTTGGCGACTCTGCTGGCCGCAGGGCTGGACAGGGGTCAGGAGGCCGACCAGGAGGCGGGGCAGCCCCAGCCAATGGGCCGGCCCGGGGCCGGTGACGCCACGGCCAATGGCCCCGCAGCGCGGGACTTTCAAGTCGCTGTCTCCGCCCCGCCGCGGTGAAGACTGCGTCTATAAAGTCGGCCGGCTTGGTCCCCGGTCAGGTCCCCGTCGCTCCTCGTCTCGGTGTGTCCCGTCTCCGCCATGGCCCGTACGAAGCAGACCGCCCGCAAGTCTACCGGCGGCAAGGCCCCGCGCAAGCAGCTGGCCACCAAGGCTGCCCGCAAGAGCGCGCCGGCCACGGGCGGCGTCAAGAAGCCGCACCGCTACCGGCCCGGCACCGTGGCGCTGCGCGAGATCCGGCGCTACCAGAAGTCGACCGAGCTGCTGATCCGCAAGCTGCCGTTCCAGCGCCTGGTGCGCGAGATCGCGCAGGACTTCAAGACCGACCTGCGCTTCCAGAGCTCGGCCGTCATGGCGCTGCAGGAGGCGAGCGAGGCCTACCTGGTGGGGCTGTTCGAGGACACGAACCTGTGCGCCATCCACGCCAAGCGCGTCACCATCATGCCCAAGGACATCCAGCTGGCCCGCCGCATCCGCGGGGAGCGGGCCTGAGCGCCACACCAAGGTTCCATCCCACCAAAGGCTCTTTTCAGAGCCACCACGTGCGCCCGAAGGAGCTGTTCGCCTCCCTGTCCTTGGGTTTCTGTCTACTACGGTCATGGGGAGAGTTCGGTTTCGGGGTGGTTGCGGAGCACTTATGGGTGCTGTTTAATTTTCTTTAGGTCTTGCACTTGTGGCCCTTTAAGGGTTCTTTCCAGGAAGGTTCCCAGAACAGCTGTTAAAAGAAACCCAGTAGCATGCTCTTGGAACAAATAGGCTTTAACAGTCATGCAAAAGCGTTCTATTGTGGCCCTTTAAGGGGTGTTTGTTGGATTGATTCTTTTTTTTTTTAAGCGATTGTTGTGGGTTTTCTCATTAGCCTCTTTAGTTTCCTAGTTTAATCAGTCTACACCTTTTGCCTACCTGAGCATCTTAAACCTGTGTCGTGTTTCAACTGGTATTGCTGATATCGTTGGTGCTGAGATGGGTAGGAGCGACTCGCCGTGAAGCAGTCGCTAAGGAAAACTTAGCATCGCAGTCCAGGAGCTGAAGGATCCGTTGTGTCAGCATGACGAAGTAGCCTGTATTGATGAGTGCCACGCCCACCCACCACTGTCCAATACTGGGTGTGCGCTATGATCTGGGTGGGAGAAGTAGTGCACCCGCCGCCTGAGTCTCCCTGAGCATGTCGGGGATTGCCGGCCTGATTAAATACTATGTAAACCTTGGGGACCCAGCTCTAGCGAATGGAGCCAGCCTTCCTAAACAAACTGAACGTACAGGACATCTATCTTTCAGCAACCTTGTAACCTCGCTAAGTTTCTAGACTTGTGAAGATAATTGTTGCTTCTTCCCTTTACTTCTAGGCAATGTCTGGGGCCTGACTGTGCTCATGATCGGTGGTAAGTGGGCCACTATCAGTAATATTCAGTGACACCTGCCTTCCCCTCTTCTTCCTGTGGACTTGAGGAATTAGACCTCTTGTAGCCTCTTGGAACTCAATATTTATTACTCTGGTTTGACCTTATTCTGTGGCAATTGGTTAGTTTCTCCCCCTTATTTCCATTTAATTCACTTTAAAATGCCAACCCAACTGCAATATAATATAATATATACATTATATATCAGAGACTTTTCTGTGCAGAAATAGACTCTGAATGTCAAGGAAGGATTTGCTATTTCTTGGCCTGAGGAGGGTCTTCTGCAGGGGGTGGATGTTGGACCTGAGACTCAGATCATAGTAAATAACTCGGGTCATTATCAGGGACCTTGCCTCTTGTCTATTGCCTAAACTTTTAGGAAATCTTCCAGGAAGCAAACTTGAGCTTTGCCTAAATCTTTGAGAAGTTACCAGTCCAAGGCTCTTTGAATTGAAGACACTGGAGGTCAGTGACCCAGGGAAGCGCCCCGACCCTCCTCTTTCACCTCTGCCATCTGAGAGCCCCCAGAGCTGGGAGGAGGATTTGCAATTAGCTCTGCTCCAAGTAAAAGTGGGAGACAAAGCCAGCCTGCTAACTGGGGTACGGGTCAGGGTCTTAGCCTGCACTCCATCCGATTCCTAATCCCTTTGATCATTGACACCTGAGACTCACTGATGAGTGGAGAAACTGAAGCAGAAATACTTTTTAAAAATACTATGCCTTTGAAATGAGTGAATAAAGGGGGAAACTGAGGACTGGGACTCCGGTCACTCCCTCCTGACAGTGACAGTTTTCAGCCCTACCCTGGGTGCCCCAATATGGAACTAGAACCTTGATATCAGTGATTACAGTATTACAACACTGTGCCTATTACAAAGTGGTGATGTAGGTGAGTATTAGAACACACAGGGCTGGCGGGAATGCAGTAAGAAGGTGCCCGGCTGCGAGCCAGGGAGAAATGCTCAGAGAACCAGTATGTCCAGTCTCCAGAGTCGTGAGAAATTGTCTTCTGATTAAACTACCCAAAATGTGATGTTTTGTTGGAGTGGCCTGCTATGGTTTGAATATGGTTTGAGATGTGTTTCCTAGAATTTTCTGTGTCCAAAGTTATGTCATTCAAAAGTCTCCAGAATGGCTTTGTTGAGGTTGGGGGAATCTTAAATCGGTAGTGTAGTGCAGTATTATTGGGGCGTGAGGACATCATTCTCAGAATTAATTGATGTATGCCCTCAGGAGATAGTTCTTAAAAAGCTGGTTATCCTAAAAGAGAGACCATCCTATCTGCTTGGCCTTTCTGCACGTCAGAAGGTCCCTTCCTGTTTCTGTGCTGTATCGTAATGCAGTCAAGTTCCATGCTGTTCTGAGTCCCCAGAATTGCAAGCCAACTATACAGCTTTATAAAGAATTTGGATGTTTTGTTATAGCAGGAGACTATAAACAAACAGAATCCTGGCCAACTTATCCAGCTCATTAGTTTCTGTTCAGGGCCTCGTTTCCTGCTCAGAGCCACAGTGGATGATTGGGTCCTTCCAACCTATGTTCAGATATAAAGCTGAAAGTTTAGCAGAGGCTTAGAGCTGCGGAGAGACAGCACTTTGCACCCATCATCTTATTGAACTTTGCTTCAAAGGTTGAGCCCCAAAGGTCTCAGAATGAGTGACTTTTTGGAACATTAAAACTATCAGTGGCTAAGCAGACCCATAAGCTTGCAGATTTGCACCATGACATGAAACCAAGGCAAATTTAACAGCAAAATGCCAACCAATTTAGATCCCAAAGATAGCCAAGATCACTCCACCCACACCAGAAATCTGTGTGACAACAGTCTGTACATGTCATGTTCTAAGGCATGGGATCCTAGCTTAGTGGGAACAGCTACGACCTGCCTTTCCTGTCTCACGGTAGGGCCACTTCACTCCATTCTGTGACTTGTGAGTCAAACTTGCTTGCCAAACTCAGACTGCAGGATGCAGGAGAGAGTGGAAAAGGAAGGGGAGGGGTATTTTACTGGGCAGTGCAGGACCTGGCCTCTTGGCAGATACAGGACCCTGGAAGCCTTCTCCTTTTAAACTTTTCTGGCTTCCTACCAAAGGTGAGTTTTTGAGGTCAGTGACTTACCTACCTCACAGTCTCTCTTCCGAGACTGCTACCCAACAGCTGTGGGCTTTGGCCATGAATGAGTTCAGCCATGTTCTCCACTCAGCAGCCCTAAGATTGGTCTTTCACAGGGGAAGGAAAGAGTTGACAGTACAAACGAGTGTGTGCTTACTTTCGAAGGATATAACGGATGATTTGACCAAATTCCTCTTATCCAACCTGGAACCAGGCTTCCCCAGGACACTGCTGCCTAATATAGCAGCCACCTCAGGGACAGCACACACACACACAACACTCTCCAACCCCAAACATCCCAGAGCTGGATGGAGCAACAGAATGTGGCTCTTACTGTGGCCTGAGAAGACCAGGAGGAATTCTCCAGAGCTTTAGGGCTTCCTCAACTGCCTCCGGCAATGTGATGGCAGCACTCAGACTTCCCATTCCTGCCGCTGTCCTCCATTCTTACCACTGCCTTTGACAGGCTGTCTTAGGCCTAATGAAACATTTGCTGTGTCGTTTTGGTTTGAGAAACCAGGACAAAGTAGTAACAGGTTTTTACTGTCAGTATCAAAACATAGGACCTGATGCTCTTCCAGAGAACCCAAACTGGGTTCCCAGCACCTAAGGACCTGATCAGGAAGCTCACAACCACCTGTAACTTCTGTAACAGAAGATTCAATGCCCTCTACTGGCTTCCGGACACACACGTGTGGCATATTGTTACACACACACACACACACATATACATAAATAAAAAGTAATAATGAGCCAAGTACAAAAGGAGTGCTCCACTTTCAGATCAGGCAACACACACACACACACACACACACATACACAAAATAGCTACAAAGAATTCAGTCTCTTAAATTCTCCTAACAGAGCAGGCCAGATGGCTCAGGAGGTAAAGTCATTTGCTAATAAGCCTCAGACCCTGAATTCAATCCCCAGAATCCATAGTGGAAGCAGAAAATCAACTTCTGACCTGGGCCACAGTGCTCGTACATACACACACACACACACCACACAATAAACTTAAAGGAAAGAATATTTGAATATTCTCATAATATCAGGTGTTTCCAGGAAAAGTCACCCACAAAACTGGTATTATTCATGGGTTGTGGATTTTTATACAGCTGATGACGGCCTCGGCTAGGACAAAGGTGTAAGTAGACACAGGTGGAGTGCTGGCTGAAAGGGGCAAGAGGTCCAGTTAAACAGATATGGTAACTTGGCATTTGGAGCATGAAAGAGGAAGGAGCCTCTGGCCCAAGGAGTGATTCTCAATCTCGGGTGACTCTTCCACAGTGAAGTTGCCTAAGACCATCAGAAAACAGATATCTATATTATGATTCAAAACCATCAAAATTACAGTTATGAAATAGCAATAAAATAATTTCATGGTTGGGGTCACCACAACATGAACTGTGTTGTGGAATAGAGTATTTGTTTAAGTTTGTAAAGATGTGTTGCATTTGTTTGTGTTGCAGAATAATTGTCTAACTATGTAAAGATGTGTTACTGTTTCACCTTGCCTGTTGGTCTAATAAAAAACTGAACAGCTACTAGCTAGGCAGGGGCCGACAGGCAGAGAGAAAGGGGAGCTGGCCAGCCGACTGGGAGGGGGTGGGTGGCACCAGCCGGCGCCAGCCAGACACAGGAGGAAGCAGAAAAACAAGATAGACAGTTCTTAGATGAGGCAAATGAGTCTCAGGGCAGCACACAGATGAATAGAAACGAGATAATTTAAGTTTAAAAATAAAAACCAGCTAGAAACAAGCCTAAACCAAGGTTGAACATTCATAATAATAGTAAGTTTTCATGTCGTGATTTGGGGTCTGGCAGTCCAAGAAAGCCTGCTACAGAACGGTAATAAAGGGTCACTGCATTAGGAAGGCTGGAAACCGCAGAACTAGAAGATAATGGTAGATTTCCTTAAGGGAGAAAATGAGGGCCAAGGGAAGCAATTGATTCTAGAGCCAAGTATTTACACCAAGTCCCTCCTGACACAGAAACTGAGGTTCCTTGTATCTAAGAGAACACTCATCTGGCAGTTGGGAATTTTAGCCTAGTCACTGAGGTGGCTCATCCAGACATATCTGTGGGGAAGCTCTAGACAGACAGCTAAAAGGATAACAGAGGCAGAGCCCTGGATGAAATCTACCCATGCATTAGAAGAGACGGGGTTAGAGATGGCTCAGCAGTTAGGAGCACACACTGCCCTGTGGAGAACCTGAGTTCAGTTCCCAATGCACATGCCAGGTGTCCCTCAACCACCTGCAACTCGAGCTTCAGGGAATCCAACATCCTCTTCTGCCTCTGCAGGCACCTTCATCACACACACACACACACACACACACACACACACACACACACACACACGGTGTGGCGGGGGAGGGGACTAAGGTACTCAGTCCACAGAAAAATTTGGTGGGACAACTCCTAATCTAGAAAGTGAAAGTTTCTGCTCCCGGATAAGTCTCTCTGTCAATGCAATAATCCAAATCAGACCAAATCAAACTGAACTAGAAAAAGTTCAGGTTTAATGGATACAAACTCATATGGCCTCCCAGCCCCCCAGAGAGGAGATGGGGAAGGAAGACTGGAACACCGTGTTCTGGGTGGGGGAGGGGGGGCAGTTTAAATACCCTGTGGGAGTGGTCTTGGGCATCTCTGGGGAGGGGTTATCATTTGGAGGGCTTTCTCAGGGGCAGAGTCTGAACTGAGACATCTTCAGGGGAGGGGACTTGGGTTGGAGTCTCCACCTGAACATTCCAGACTCTGGATATGTGGATGCCAGGGGCTGGGGTGAAGCCTCTATTCAAACAGAAAGGACAGCTGGTGAGAGATAAAGAACACAAGGAGAGAATGTGGCTGAAGGAGGCAAAGGTGGTCTCAACTGGGCCACGCTGTGCAGTGACATTTGGAAATGAAAACAGCAGATTTCTTAAGCTCAGGGTTTGCTGACGGTTGAGGTAGAATCACAGCAACCTCACAAAGCAGGCAAGAACGCTAGAGTATTTTACCCAAATTCCTACACTAGTGTCAAGGCAAAAGTGTGAAAGGAACCCCCAAAGTGCATATACCTAAGGAGAAACCTCAAAGGGTTCATACAGGAAGTTCTGAGGGAACTTGACAGGAAGTACGTGATGGATGCCAGGGCTCAGTGCCCACTGCATCAGGTGACTCTCTGCTTACCAGTCAGCTCCATAAACATGGAGGGGACAGACTCCTCTATCCAACGCCAGAGATGAGTTTGTCACTCCCATGCTTTAAAACCCAGGCTCTCTTCCTACCCCTCACCTTTACAATAAAATCTACACCACGTGCCGAGCACAGAGAATCAGAAACTCAGGGGACAGTCACAGGCTCTCAGTCCTAGCTCTGCCTCCTACCACTGCAAGGCTGGTACAGAAGCTGAATCGTCCTCTCTAAAGATGCCGTTCATCTCAAACATGGGGATGGTGTCCGAAGGCTTTGAAGGAAGTAATTCGAGCAATGACAAACGTGTCTGTTGTGCCCAGGTTGCGACCCTCAGGGAGACCACCAAAAAACAGAGAGACCAGACTTCAATTAGCAAGGTTTTATTACCAGCGTAATATGAACTAGTTAGGAACTCATCTCTAGCACCCCATCGCAACGAGATAGAGAGGAGGTCCTCTGTGGGGTTAGCTTTTAAAGGCAGAAAAAACACAAGCAGCCCTTCAGGGTGGTTTGGCACGGGTGCAACTTTTTGAAAGTCTTTGCTTTCTCTCCCAGCTTGTTCTTTGTTCTTAGAGCAAGGCCACCCTGTTTCTGAGTCAGGCCATCTTTATCAGCCTGTACCAGGTAGCCAGGCAAAATTTCTCAGGTGGGAGTGGGGAAGGCTACTATCTCCCTGTGGTGTGGGACAATGGTCTATATTCTGTCAATTATATTTTAAATAAACGCTGATTGGCCAGTAGCCAGGCAGGAAGTATAGGCAGGACAACCAGACAGGAAGTAGAGGTGGGCCAATGAGAACAGGAGAATTCTGGGAAAATGAAAGCTTGGTCCGCAGTCCTGACCCAGCCACAGAAACAGCAAGATGTGACTGCCTTGCTGAAAAACGTACCGAGTCACGTGGCTAACATAGACAAAAATAATGGGCTAATATAAGTTATAAGAGTTAATAAGAAACCTGAGCTAATGGGCCAATCAGTTTATAACTAACATAGACCTCTGTGTGATTTTTTTGGGGACTTAACGATTGCAGGAATCAGGCAGGACAGAAACTCAGACAACATTCCTGGGAACAAGCTAGTCTGGGTTTCTATTTTTAAAACATTCTGCTAGGAAATTTCTTCTTGCCCTTTTGAGAATATGGGGTGAGGGTCTCACAGTGTTGTCTTAAACAATATAAACATTTCACTGTTGTTGAATATTCAAAAAACAAAGCACAGTTACAAAGCACAGTTAGAAATTTATTTCCACCCCTGAATTGCAAAATTACCCCCTCTCTAGCCTCCACCCCTGACTCCCTACCCTGGCCTTTGACTAAATTCACAAACTATTCACCTGTCATTGCAAAACCCACATCTCTCATCTTAAAGGCAACAAGAGATAGTTTATTATGGATTCATTTTGAGTGACCATGGCCCAGGAATACAGGTTTAGGTTACCCCAAATTCCATATCCCAATGTATAATCAGATCCATGAAGTTTTATAGTTTACAGAACAAATAAAATCGTAAATCAAGGCAAGTTTAAAAGATATTGGTTAATGTATCTGAGAGGTGATTAGAAAGACAGGGACGATTTTCTCTGGGCCCACGAGATACTGTCTCATGGCAGTCTTTACCTTTGGACTGATAGAAGCGAGCTGATCTACTAAATCAGTAGAGTACAAAGGTTTTTAATCTACCAGTCATGGGACGTTAGTTCTGACATAGATGGGCAAGGAACAGCTGTCCTAGAGGCTAAAGCTATCCCAAGACAAGGAAATATCTCCGGGTCTGTAGCCTTCCCATCTCTCCATAGTACTGGAATTCTGACTAGTTACTTCTACAGACACAGCTTCTCTTCAGGAGTCCTTGCCCACGCATCTATTGACACAGTTTGACCTGGCCCTGTCCAGTCTCTGAGAATTCACTAGGCCCCTGACATGACAAGATCCTTTTTTATGTTCAGGTATCATTCCCTCTCCTTCGTAGGCTTACCTTATAGTCATCAGAATACATCCCACGGCCACCAGCACGTACATGGGCTCTTCCGGACAACAGACAGCATTCTCAATTTCCAAAAAAAAAAAAACAAAAAACAAAAAAACCTGCACCCCTGCTCTGTGGTATTGCTTCCTCCTGGATTAATTCAACTGTACTGCTAGGTCCTAAATTCCTTCAGGGCGAGTGTTTTGTTTTGTGTCTCATTAAATCAGCACCCTGAGCATGCTTGGCCAGAGGATCAGGGCAAAAGATTCAGTTCCACTGGCTTCTAAACTGTAACCCAGAAGGAGACAAAATGCCAGCCCTTCCTTATTCTCAGGACCTGCAGGCCAGGAAAGAATTTCTTCCAGGGTGGCCCAAGACTGGGAAAAGCACAACTGCCTTGGGCTGGTGTGCCTCACTCACACAGCTGAAGCACACGCTGGGACATTAGCTGAGGGCAGAGATTCTGACCAGACTGAACCAATGGGAGCCATGTTTGAAGGGAGATACTTTAGGAAGGGGTATGCATTTGCAGGGGACTGAAAAGAAGCCCACTTCCCCAAATCCAAGTTCACCCATTTCTCAGTCCCTGGAATATATAGGCATCATCTTATATAGCCAGGAGATCTTGTAAATGTGAATAAATGAAGGACCTCGAAGTGGGCGGTCTGCCCTGGATCATCAGTGGGGCCCACACTGTAATTTAATCACAGAGTTTTTCTTAAAGGGAGGCAAGAGG